ATGATCAAGCATGCTTTTGTGAAGTATTTGGATAAAATAATTGAGTCAAAAATATCCATTTTCTTGAAATTTCATCATTCATTTATTGAAAAATAAGTGTTCCATTGTTATTTTCTCCTCAAGTGAGACAGGAAAAGTAACTGTGCTGACTTGTAAATAAATAGTTGGTAATTCACCATTATATACGCATCTTCATTTGTCAATTGAACTAAAATATACCCTGCTTTCCCAGATTATCCTTCAAGTTCTCTGTCCCTGAAATTTAGGAAAAGAATAATTTACAGTCTGATAGCCTGGATCGTTGGATGTGGACTTTAAAAAATGAAATGTATGAAACGAATTCATTTGTGCATATCAAGGATGGATTAGGTACCTTTTCTTACTTAATACTGAAGTTTTAAAACAACTACATCTAGGCATAAGTTAAAGGTACTTGTTCACACCAGCTTTCTTGTGGAGGTAAGCCAACCGCCAAAACAAATTTCCTCTATGAACAAATTCAATAAGCCATGAGCATCTGTGACTAGAGACAGATCCTTTCAGTTCCGCATTGTTCAATCTAATCCACACAACAAAATCATAGAACATGTCATTCATTTGAAATAAATACTCAGTCTCTCAACCAGTGCAGAACTAAGAACTAATTGTTGCAGAAAAGAACTAATATGTTCTTTAGCAAAGCAGTAGCTGACACAGCTGACAATAGGAGTTCCTCCGACGCCTGTACTAGTTGTTAAGTTAAATGTACATTCATGAACAATAACAGAATTGCTGACAAAATGTTGCCAATAATACCAGTTGCAAATGTGGATCGCATTCATTCACAACCACAAATTTCTAAGTTCTACATAGTATCACATCCTCGGTCTAAGTAATCAGGAGCAGTAAGGCAGCAGTAACGTCTGCTCCGTTTTCCGAGTATGAAATAAAAATACACTTTCGGTACAAAAATACACAAAAGATCCATAGGTACCCAGGTACCCACCTTTCTGACGGAACCAGACCTGGGCCACCTGGGCAGTCTTTCTATGATGAATTAAAACATCCATAAGTTACACCATGGTTTACACGCATGGTCCTGGGCTCGCCAGTGGCACTGCCCTTTCCCTTTCACCCCACGTTATGATCTCTGTAACTGCTTTCAGGGGCAGGACCTTCAGATTTCACATGACTGTCTGTGGGGCGGGAATCCAGTCGACGTCCCCTGGGGAGGACGTAGTGACGCCAGCGACGTTCACGACGTGGTGGACACCTCGCGCAGTTCGCGCTCCTCGGCGGCGGTCAGCGAGCTGGCGCAGGACGAGGACGAGGACAGCAGTCTCCTGGCGGGCACCGCGTCCAGGTCGGGGCCGCAGGGGCACGTGCAGTCCTTGGCGTGCACGTGGCCGTTGAGCAGCGGCCGGGTGGGCAGCCCCTTGGCGTCACCTCGCCCCACGCCGGGGCTCGAGCTCAGGGAGTCGTCGCCGTCGTCCTCGTGCCGGGGACAGAAGTCCTCGCAGAACATGCGGACCTGTGGGGCAGGCGGGCGCCAACAGCGTCAGTGAAGAGTGGGGGGGCAGCGAGGTAGGCAATCCCGACAAGCAACCGTGTGCAGGGGGCGGCCCACCCGGCCCGGCCAGGCAACGGGGCGTGGTAGGCAATCCCGCCCAGCAGCTGCGTGCAGCGGAACGGCCTACCCGGCCCCACCAGGCGCTAACGGGGCGTGGTAGGCAATCC